GTGTGGGCCTTCAGTCGCCTGAGGTTGAATAGAATTCCATCAGTACGGTATCAAATGTAGATACTGTCCTGATCATCGAGGTCTGCTGTGGCCCTTTGGAGCATCATGCTAAAGAAGACTGTGAAGAGGGTAGGAGCAAGAACGCAGCCTTGTTTCACACCATTCTTACTTAAAAAGGGCTCAGAAAGTGTGTTGCCATATCTGACTTGGCCGTGCTGATCCTCATGGAGTGAGATGATCATTTTAAGGAACTTGGGGGGACAACCTAAACGTTCCAAAATCTGCCGCAGACCTTTTCTGCTCACAGTATCGAAAACCTTGGTGAGGTCAACAAAGGTTACATAGAGACCTTTGTTCTGTTCCCTACACTTCTCTTGCAGTTGTCTGAGAACAAATACCATGTCTGTGGTGCTCCTGTTGGCTCTGACTTTCGGGTAGGATTCCTTCTGCTATAGTGGGTATTAGTCTGTTCAAGAGTATTCTTGCCAGGATAATACCACGGTAATTTGAACAGTCTGATTTAGTACCTTTCTTCTTATACAAAGTGATGATGACTGTATCACAAAGGTCTGATGGTAGTTCACCGAGCTCCCAACAGCGCACCACAAACTTGTGAAATTTGGTGTGGAGTGCAAGGCCCCCATGTTTCCAGACTTCAGGTGGAATTCCATCAACCCCAGCTGCCTTGCCAATTTTCACCTGCTGTATGGCCTTGAGGGTTTCTCCTAAAGTGGGTGCAGTATCCAATTCATACTTTACTGGTTGTTGTGTGATGGACTGAATTGATGCTGCTAGTGTAATAGTCAATTGAAATAGTCTAATATGGTTACTGTTACAAGGATAGTATGGCAAAATCTAAGTCAGTTTAATCCATTTCAACATAAAATAATGGCATTTTATGCCAATATAATCTTTGTTTGTGTTTTGGTTTGTCTTAATTTTTTGTTTTGTTACTGGTGGTGTTAGAAATGGAACCAGACTAGTTCATGTTACTGCAATACAATTCTGTAGAAAGAATTAAGTGAATTCTTCTCATCACTTATTGGCATGGAAAATACAAAAAACACTGTGTCACTTATGGTGTTGTACCTGTGTTCACACCACATTCTTACCCTCTAATAATTTGTCATCCACAAAACTTAAGGCAGTCCACTTAACTCTGTTTGATTTTGAGCACAAATACTTTAGCAGATCTCCCATTCAAGAGCTCCTCAATGCTCTATAATAATGTTTTCACAGAAAATCAAGAAAGCAACTTTGGCTTTTCTTTGCTGTGAAAATGAGCAACATTTTAAGAATAGTACAAAGATAATAGGCCTTGTCTGTTGTGAACTCATTGATCTGCCTCTGTCAAAGCCATGACATACAAGCTGACTATCAACACCTAATTAAGGAACCCTCACAACTTTTCTCGAGATTAGAGATAATCTCTAATATGGAAAATAATATATGACTCCTTTGCAACAGTAGGCAAGTTACCCTTAAAAGATCATAGAAGATCACAGAATCATCAAGGTTGGGTCATCAAGATCATCTGGTTCAACTGTCAAGCCAGCACCACCACTGTAACCCCTAAACCATATCACCCAGCACCAGATCCAGATGCCTCTTTAACACCTCCAGGGATAGTGAATCCACCACCTCCCTGGGCAACCTATTCCAATGCCTGACCACCCTAACAGTGAAAAAGTTATTCTTATTTCTAATTTGAATCTCCCCTCTCTCTGCTAAAGGCCATTTCCTCTGGTCCTCTCACGGCAGGTGTGACAGGAGAGACCAACCCCCACCTCACCACAGCTATACTCTGTATTTGTACAGAGCAAGGAGGTCCCCCCTGAGCCTCCCCTCTAAGTAGCTTATGAGTCCTAACAGACTCTTTACCTCACATTTCCTTGATTACAGAGTTCCCCTGAGTTTACTTTCTCTTATTTCCACCTAAGCACTTTGTGCTAATTCTCAAGCTAATATTACATGTAATTATGGAAGTTGTTTTTAGAGTTTTCATTTAAGTAACTGGCCATATCTCCTCTGCTTGGCAGTAGGTAGGCAGCTCCAGATGTCAGAAAGACCTTTGCTCCCAGTAGTAACTTCTACTACTCCCAAGTCAGTATGCTTCTGGGCAGAAAAGAGAGATGAAAAGCTGTATCTCCAATTATTAGTTCCTTGAACCAGCCAGTGTCACAGAAACAGTTCATTTTAAAGGAAAAAAAAATTAATCATATTTATTACAGGCGGAGCAAAATGTTTCTGATATATGAAAGACAAAGATAGTGTGGCCATTTGGGTTAGTCTTACTACATCCCAAATTGTCACAACACTTGCCAAAAGTGAATTTATCAGCTCAGTGCAACCAACAGATTTAGTTTATCTGAATGTCTTACAAGTAACAAGTTGTTTATAAAGGGTTTTGAAGACTGGGGGAAATCTAGTATTCTGTTGACATATGCTATTCTATTGACATATGCCATATATTTAATTTAATGCTGTGGTTCTGATGTCTCTTCTGATAAACTTTAGTAGAATCTATGCTAAGAAGAATGGAGCTGTTTCAGTATCTATGTGGTTTAAAATGCAGGGTTAGCAAAATGTTAATTGAAAAAATATTTATGTATATTATTGCAATTGCTTAGAGAAGAATTTTGCTAAAGTTTATTGGTCTATCAGTCCAGAATATTAAAAGTTTAGTATTTTTCAGATTTGTTGGCTTTTCTATAGTGAAAAAATCCTCTAAAAAAAGTGATTAAATAGCTCAATTTTTTTTTTAGGCATATTGGAGATAACATCTGTAGAAATTGGAGTTGTGGCAGTTAAGTCTATTAAGAGCAACTACTATTTAGCCATGAACAAAAAAGGAAAAGTCTACGGCTCTGTAAGTACCTTTTTTACATTCCAAATGGATTGCGGAAGTCAGCACCATTCTCTATCTTGACTACTGAAAACCCCACTTGTCTGTGTATTACTGCTAATTAGAGCTGAAGTGAGCTGTTCATCAAAATTTCATTCTCTGATAAACCAGGATCACTCCTCTACACAAGCTTCCTTTTGTTTGCTAAGCTCCTATCATACCAACACACATTCTGGGATTTATTATACTTACTGCTTCAGTCACATTTCTTATTAAGGAGAGGTCAATGGAGATGGTCCTACAAAATGTAGTCTTGAAGGCTTGTTTTTCATTTTTCTTCATTACAGTCACATTTAGCAGTAACTCTGGGAGGGATAAAGTGTACTCGAAGTCATGGAAACTTGAGCTGATCGAGTAAACACACCAAGTCATCAAACTACAACTTTGAAGGTTTCTAGAGTAGCCAGCTTTAGATTGACTGTGTTAATTAATACAAAAGATTATGGGCAGTACAGAGAGACATGAACTTGTATATCATCAGATATACTTAGTCTGAGCAGAATTTGGTTAACGTTTGGAAGTTTTCCATGTATACAATATTTTTATTTGTGTTAAGTTTGGGGTTACTGATACTTTCAGGGGGAAAAAAAACAGACATGAAAACCACCCAAATAATCAAACAAACAAAAACAAACCAACCTAAGAAAACCCAGTAACTATCCAAATATTTTTAGTAGAGAGCAATATGATGTATAAATCTAACAACTAAACTCAAATGTATCCTCACACGTCTACGTGATTACACAAACACCAGATTCTTCCGCTATTACATTGGGTTTGGTTTGTAATTTTGCAATGTTTTGTCAGTTCCTGGAAAGGTTATGAGCCAATCTTCAGGTTGCTAAGTGTTCAGGACATCCATAGGCTTTGTGGACAGAAGGTCACAGATAGGAACTGGGTTTATCCTCAAGTGATGTGGTTAAGCCTCCTCCTTCTGCTGAAAATAATGAACTAATGCTAATCTTAACTAAGACTCAAGGGGCTTGAAGCCATTTGGCCTTCATTTTTAAGGAAACACTTCTACCAGGTGGGTTGAGTTCATACAAAAAATAAAAACTGTCCTCCCTCATCTGCACTGTGGCTAGTCACTCCTGGTTCAAAAGCGACCTTCTAAACTCTTTGACGGTGTCAAAGAATTACATTAAGGAAAGATCAGAACAAATAAATGTTTCTTAAACTCCTTTAAATGTACATTTTCATTTCTAAAATTACACTGTTCAGAACTACAGGATGATCAGGGCTTAGTCCTGCTCTGTTGAGAGATATAACTGTGTACTGAGTTATTCAGTATAGTCATTGTAGGTATGCTTCTTTATATAGGTGATGGTTTTAGCATGTCAACATCTTCAATTCACACATCTCAGTTTACAGTGTGAAGTTTAGTCATTTGTGATGGGCCAACCCAAAGCCCAAGACAAGTTTTCTTGCCCAAGTTGTTTGTCATGGCTGGTATGGTGAGAGTCCATAACCCTATATACGTACAGAAGAAGTCAAAGCAGCTTTCATGTACCATAGGTGGAAACTGCTGCCAGAAGATTCAGTAATTCATAATGTATTAGAAATAGTGTTGACAGGAGGATACGACTGTGGAAAGCCTTCTTTTTAATTCCAGCTGAGATAATTTTTCAATATTCACATCATAAAATCACAGCATAATGATTTATCAAAACCTATTCCATAATACTTTAGCAATTTCAAGAATGCTTCTGTTATTATTTTTCCCAGACTCCCAAGATTTGCAGTTAGCCTCATATTACTACAGTGTGACAGCTTGCAGATGGATATGAATACCAGAACCAATAAAAATTGTAAAAACACTCTTGAGCATGTGTACAATAGACATTGGTGCAGGATTATGCTGAAATTTGTTTGAAATGAGCAAGGCAGTCCTGAGTAGCACTCACACCCCTGCCAATAAGACTTCTTAAGCACATCACAACATCATCTGTTCTCTCTCTATTGTCTAAGAATAGAGGTAAAAGTTTGGATTTGAGTACAATTCTGCATCTGGGAAAACAAGTTAAGTAAGACTTCTATGTTTACAAAATACTTTTCCATTTGACTGACTCTGGCTGGAACAAGGGACCAAAGGAAGACTCACTATTTGTTTTCTTTAACAAAACAAGCTGCCTGCAGATAGGAGCAATTACTACAGTTTAGAACTGTGATTAGTGGCGATAACTACCTTTTTAATACCTTGACACTCGAGGTGGCATATTACAGAAAATAAGTATTAAATTATCTATATAGCTTTGTGAATACAGGCAGTATCAGTAGTCACTTTGTAGAGAGTCTTCCTTGATAGTGTCTTCCCCAGCAATCATTGTTTAAATAACTAGTAATCCTAAAGTTAAAGACCAATTGAGTTTGAATATGTGCATATGTGAATATGAACACATGCAATTCTGTTAAGTATGTGTTCTGTGGTCTTAGAGGCAACTAAAACATTAATTATTAACAAAAAATTCTTACTGTATCAAAGTACTGAACATTAACTAGTTTTAAAATTCTAATTAAAGTTAATAGGTATGGAAAATATATTTTCAATAGTCTTATATCCTTTTTATTAATGTAGATACTTTCTATATGTGTATTACCTGAATATCTAGGGATGTTGATTGTAATAAAAGATACAATGTCCCTGAAATTCTTAACTGTACCATGAAAATTGTTTTATTATTCAGATTTCTTTCTTGTCTTGTTCATAGATAAATTAAAAATAGTACATGCACTTAGTATATCATACTCTGAGATTCTGACATGTTTCTGCCTGAGCTGTGAAATGACATCTTATTTTCTGAAATGCAGAAACGAAATACTAATTTTTCATTTTAATTTAATTATGTTGTAATCATTCCACTTTTAAAAGACCTCTAAATGGAATATAAGTAGTTTGTTAAAATTGGATGGATTTGTATGTAGGAATTACTTGTTTATGAAAACAAAGCATTCTTGGCTTCAGTATAGAAAAGTAGATCTGTGTAAAAGTGCATTTAACAACATACTTCCACATGCTTGTATTTTTTATTCCTTCTAACAAATTGACAACTGGTTCTCCTTTAAAAACAGAAAACCTTAATCTCTGGTACTATAGAAAAAACTACTTTCAAGCTGTTTTAGTCAATAAGATACAGGATCATGCATGATTCTTTTTTAGGCTAAGCCCATCTTCAGGTAAACAAGGTAAAAAGGCCTCACATTCTTTGTAATAGCAGCATGACAGTATTTGCAACCATCCAAAAAGCCCTATTTCATGATTAGCATGCTTTAAAGGATCTTACTTTAAATAAGAAGTACAGCTATGCCATACTTATTTGTTTAACATATGGTATCAATATCTTGTTCAAGATATTTAAGGGTTATATTTGTTAGAACTGAAATATGATTAATGATTTCAAGATTGCCTCCTTATACTTTTGAGTTTATGACTGAGAACTTGATTTAATATTGTTGCCGTATTCTAACACAGAGAAATTTAATTTCAGTTCTGACTAAATTATATAATTTCACTACTATAATTATGCACTGAGTAATTAATTATATATTTTGTTAGTTTCACTTTTTGCCGTCTAACTGATTTTGCTTTAAATACTGTGGACACAGTGAAACTTTAATTTAAATACACTGTAGAATCATAAAGGAGTGTCAGTGAACACTAAAATCTTCCAAATATTTTTAGAAAGTATTTGCCTTCAGTGTGCTGCAATTCTGAAACGTTATGTTTGTTCTGAATTTGTGTATTTTTTTCCTCTTTTAACAGAAGGAGTTTAATAGTGATTGCAAATTGAAGGAAAGAATAGAAGAAAATGGATATAACACATATGCATCCTTAAATTGGAAGCACAATGGAAGGCAAATGTTTGTGGCTCTGAATGGGAGGGGAACCACAAAGAGAGGACAGAAAACAAGAAGGAAAAACACTTCTGCTCACTTTCTTCCCATGGTGGTCATGTCATAGATGAACAAGCTATTTTTTTGATGAAGCTGAACCAAAGGCTGTTATGTCAAGAATGTTTGATAATTCTCTTAAAGGGTAAAAGCAGAGAAATAGCCCAGACATCTGCATGCTTGAAATGAGAGCAGGGGAAGCCTTTGAAGGTTTTGTACTTATTGCTAGCACATGAAATACCTTTATTTAGTTTGTTGTCGTATCTTATAATCAAAATGCAAGCTGGATCAAAGGGGATGGAATTTATTGCCAGTGTGAACATTTTTTTTTTTTTTAATCACTGCAACAGACCTTGATGGACAAGACAATCTGTTGCGTGATCTTCATGGGGAATGCTATTTATGGAATACTAACTCATATCAAAGTCCTTAATTGCTCATTCAAGCCTAATGATTCAATGAACAGTTAGACACGCAAGCATTTACTGGAAGCACTTGGGTCATATGCACAAATAATGACATTTCTGGAGAAACCTTTTGGAAGAATGGATAGGATAAGCAAAGTAGTATATAACTGTTCTAACAAAATGAATAGTATGGTTTTCTTGTATGTTCTAAATTTGTTTCTTTTTATTTCTCTCTAAGTTATTTATTTAATAGGATGTTAAATATCTTTTTTATTTGAAATATTTTCCTCATTTGCTTCTTTGTTATTTTCCCTTTTTCTTAGTACTTCACAGAGCGGTTGATAGAGTAAGATGTCAAAACCTCAGAAGTACTCTGAGAATAGGTATTAGACAAGGCTTTAAAGGCAGAATTTAAAGTGTATACTCCGTCTTTTTTCTAGACTATCTTGCACTTAAGCAAAAGACCAAACAAGCAGTGCTTGGATTTATGGTATTGGCTTCTTTATATTGGAGAAATTTTTGTACTTATAAGCACTCAAGAACAAACTTCAAGAAATACTTTGTTCAAGGGGTCTTTCTGCTATTTTGAAATTGAGAGGAGGGACCACATCTGTACTTGGATGTCAATGCATCTGTGTGTATATTCGGCTGACTTTGATTTCAGTTTGGAGCTAGGATCTAATGCATCGCAATCAGTGTGATATTCTGTAGCACACATTGGACTGGAACCTAGAGGTGGACAGCCCTGTTACAGTCACTGAGATTGCAAATGTTAAAATTAAACACTAGTGTGTAATTCCTAAGTATAACATTTGGCCTCTGAAAGCTAAGCAAGAAGGCAACACAGTCCTTCACTCCTTATTCAGTTAATGCTCTCATTCACCTATTTGCCATTGGTACCAACTCGTAGAATCACATGCATATAGTAAGAGCAATGTCTAATTCAGGACTGAGAGACAGAAGATCCAAAATCGTGCTCCTGCATTTTTCAGAGATTATTACTCATGTTTATTATATATGAGAGCCAACTGAAAAGCTGTGCTGGTTTCCAGCTTTAACATGACTTTCCTAACCATCACAGTAATTGAAGGCTCAAAACACATAACATCTAGCACATTTTTATGAAGTGTTACTAGTCCCATTGCTTAACTTGAGCAACTACAGTATAATAAAGTTAAGCATAATATGAAGTCTGTTCAATTAAAGGTACATAAGGTTTGTTTTATGTTTTGCTTTACTCATTAATTTTAGAGAGCTCTGGATAGCTCACCACTGTAACCATATTGAGATTCATTTTGTTAGAGCAGATAAATAGAAAACAGTACATCAAACAATTTGTACCACTGTCTTCACCTTGTATTCCATTAAATAAATAAATAAGCCTTTGCAGTGTCTTTAGTAAGAAACAAAAGTAGTATAATATTATTTTGTTTTAAATACTTTAAGTGATAACTATAAGATTATATTGATGCTGCAGTTTATCTTCAATATTTCTTGTTGTGAAAAAGTTGGTTTTATTTTTATTGTTTGGAGACTGTATTTTGGTACAAAGGAGAGCCTTGCTTAATGTGTCTTTTTGAAAATGTTTAACCTCTATAAAGCCTGGTGTTGTTGGAATCTTCTATAACTTATTTAAGTCAATGTTTAACCAGCACTCCAATCTTAATCTGTTATTTAAATATTAGTTGGGGTTTTCTTTTAAAAAAAAGGCAAAAAAAATGCTTCCCCATAAAATACAAAATGGTTATATTTCCTGTCCTTAAATAAAGTCAGCTGTTTTAAACCTAGGAATTCATTGAGAGACAACATATTTTTAGTTAATAGCTGATGCTGTATTGCATGGTACTTTATCTCCAGATTTCTTCTTCACAAATGACATTTTTCTAGAAAGAGAAATAAGAATTTCAGATTCTAAAAGTAGTTGCAGCTCACAGCAAAACAATTACTATGATAAAAATGAGCTTCTGTTGTTTAAATTTGTAATCAGTAATTAAAACTGACAAGTCATAGTGGACCACCAATCTTCAGTATGAGCTTGAGCAAATGCAGTATTGAATGACCTCTTAAAGAACATTTAGGGTACGAATGAAATTCTCTTCAGACAGAATTATCTAGATGACTTGGTCAGGGGAGGATTATGCATAAATATCATAGTACTCGAAACACTATGCTGCTCAAATGACAAGGTCAGAAAATATCACTTTTCCAAAGCAAGTCAGGAGCCATTTCTGAGATGAAAAGTGGTTTCTGAAAATTAAACAAAATGAAAAACGCTTGAAGGAATCAATGATTCCTGTGTGTTTGGTATACTGTAATACCCACTGTAGTGGGAGCAAACTGCAGACATTAGAGTATCCCAGATCCTCAAACATGAGCTCTGTTTTCTGTCACGCTCAGCATAACACTCCTGAGTAAAAGGAAAACAGGGAAAGGGGTTTAGAAAAGAAAAGGGATACAAAAATCACTGAGCAACAATGTATAGTATGTTATATTTAAATAAAAATAATAAAATGTGGGGATTAGAGAATAAAAGCATTGTCTTTGTTTGTTTTATTAATCTGAAATTATACTGCACAATAAAAATAAAAAGCGAAAAGATCTGTTGTACTACAGGCTGTGGTTTCATGCTGTATAGGCCCCAAACAAAACAAAAATCACTTGAACATGTCTAAGTATTTTGAATATTTTGTATGTGTGAGTCCACTATCTCTACACTAATAACAACCAAATGCTTCAGATTCTTCCTGTAAGTATTTGAATCCACCTAGTTTTATACAGTGGAATAAAACAATGAATTTAGAGGAAGCGTATATTTGATGAAAGAATGAAGGGTTTAGGAAGAAGAGCATGTACTTTAGATATGGAAAAATAGTTACATTTTATATAAGACTTCATGCAAAAGACATTTCAGGTTATGAAGTTCACTAAAGGTTAGTAAGCTTTAGAAGTATATGAGCACAACTTTGTAGTTCCTCCCCCTCCTGAAACTGATTGTCTCTATTCACACAAACAGTCATAACTGTTTCAACTGTTTAATCTTGAAATTAATCATAAAGACACTCCTTTTATGAAATGTCAAGTATCATTTTTTAATCTAGTAAGTTAAACTGTGGGGCAGAATTCACCTTCCTAGTTTTCTATTAAGTTGAAGAAAGAAAAATACAACACATAACAAACACTTTCTGCTGCAGCTAGTCAATGTCTAATTTTTCAGAAACAGATCCTACACTGAAACAATTTCAGTGCAACTTCAAGTAACTGATGCAAAGAAAAGTTGTTTTCCATGGTATTGTAAGCAAGAAATAGCGTATGAACAATTAATTGGCTTTAGATCTTTATTATTTATAACTGTGCTTACGTTCCCAACTATTTGAATCCCATGTTTAACTGTATGGAAGCTTTCTTGAAATAAGTTTAGGATTTTCTAATGAAGCACGATGAATCTCAGATACCTGATACATGTATTTTCACTTGCTAATCCCAGAAAAAAAAAAGAAAAGTAATATGTCTTTTGTCCACCCAAACAGTGTATGGAAATATGCTCCTGTGAAAGCCAAAATAAAGGAACCATGACAAGGTCTCAAGTAAATTATATGGGAGCAGTGATCTCTGAGTTACTGCGGTATAAATGAGGAGAATTTCCACTCCTGAAATTCTGCACCAGGGTCTTTAGTGGTGCCACTATATGCTATTTAGTTAATGTGAAATAGAATCATAGAGTCATAGTATCATAGAATGTTAAGGCGTTGGAAGGGACCTTAAAGATCATCTAATCTCAAGCACCCTAGCATGGGCAGGTTTCTCAAGGCCTTATCCAGCCTGGCCTTGAACACTGCCAGGGATGGGGCATCCACAACTTCTCTGGGCAACCTGTTCCAGTGCCTCATCACCCTCACAGTAAAAAATTTCTTCCTCATTTCTAAGCTGCATTTCCCCTCTTTCAATTTTTATCCATTACTCGTTGTCCTATCACTACAGTTTCTGATGGAAAGTCCCTCTCCAGCTTCCCTGTAGGCCCCCTTCAGGTACTGAAAGGTTGCTGTGAGGTCTTCATGCAATCTTCTCTTCTCCAGGCTGAACAACCCAACTTTCTCAGCCTGTCTTCGTAGGGGAGCACTCCAGTCCTCTTATCAACTTTGTGGCCTCCTCTGAACTTGCTCCAACAGTTCCATGTCCTTCTTATGCTGGGGACACAAGAATTGTGTGCAGTATTCCAAGTGGGCTCTCACAATCGCAGAGTAGAAGGGAGGAATCACCTCCCTTGACCTGCTGGCCATGCTATTTTTGATGCAGCCCAGGATTTCATTGGTTTTCTGGGCTGCAAGCACACACTGCCAGCTCATGTTAAGTTCTTCATCAGCCATCACCCCCAAGTCTTTCTCCACAAGGCTACTCTCAATCACTTCTCCACCCAACCTGTAGGTGTGTCTGGGATTTCCACAACCATGTGGATCTTGTAGGATCCATGTAGGATCTTGCACTTGACCTTATTGAACTTCATGAGATTTGCATTGTCCCACCTCTCAAGCCTGTCAAGGTCTCCCTGGATGGCATCCCTTTCCTCCAGCATGTCGACTACACCACACAGCTTGGTGTCATCAGCAACTTTGCTGAGGGTGCACTTGATCCCACTGTCAGTGGGTAATCACACATGTAAATGGATAAATGGATATGCTGGTGGTGATATCAGAAATACATGTCCTATCAGACCAACATCCAAATATGAGGCTATGAGAATTGCAGTATCTGAAAAAAACTCACACAAACTACCCAACTGTATAGTTCTGTGCAAAATATTTAGGGGACTGATACTGATATAGGTAATTTATCACACTATAATAAAAACAAAGTCTATATTTACATCAAAGCTCAGACTCTTTAGTTATCTTGTGATAATGTAATAAATGAAGAATCAAGATATTACAGGGGTTTTGTCACTACGGAAAAGTAAAGTGTGTGTACCAAGTTTCAGATGACCACTATTTAACCATTCAAACTATTCTATGACTTTGTTTAAATTGTATGATTTTTTTGATAATGCACCTGTTTTACTAATTTCTTAATGAACTTTTAACCCTTTCAGTTGCTACGAGTCTTTGCAGAAGTCGAGTTAAACATTGATCTTCTCTTGCATCTGCACTTGTTTTCTAGATATAAATAGCTAAAAAAAATCAACATTTGATGTTGTACATTCAGGAACTTGACTTATTCAGTGAGTGGAATGAAAAATTAACCTCTCTGCTACATTATTTTCAAAATGCCCACCTAATTTGTATAATTTCTTCCCTTAGAATACTCTTGAATTCTCACTTGCCTGTGTTTTCAAAAATGTACATCACTCATACTACTCTATGCAGTGTATGTCCAGTTATGCTTATTTCCTGTGATTTCTTCCTTCTTTTCCATATAACAGCAAGATTCATAAATGGTTCACTGAGGTAGCTTGCACTACTGGTGTCGGCAGTACACTGTCATTATTACCACAAATATAAGACTCTCATTTCTCATTCCATGTAGAATGACACAGAGATCTGATGATACGGTAGTGTTTTGATAACCCTTGGCTCCCTTGAAACTACGCACATACTTACTAGTAAACATGCAAATTAGGTTCAGAAGTTAAATATGCATTGCGAGGATAGGTTAGGTTAACAGCCACTGTGTACAAGATACATTGCAAATGAAAATGTGTGTTCTGGCTTCTTTCTTTTTCCATGGTTCACTCAAGGAAAGGGAAACATAAGGAAAGGATATGGCATTAGTATTTACAACCTTCATTGCTTTTCTTAAATGGTAGCCAATACATGACCTATCCTGGTAACTGACTGAATCTTATTTCTGTGATGAAATATGACGAAGATATCAGCAATCTTGTAAAGGAAGGATCAGTCTCTTTCTCTTCCTTATTGTCAACCAGTACAACTCACCGAGTGCTACTGATATAGCATGCAGTTTGTGCTCACTTAAATATAAATTAAGGTATAAGATTCCAGCTTTGGAAGAAGAGATATGGCTCTGCTTATCATGTTAAATGAGTACTGTATCCTTTGCCTGACAGAGACAGATAAGATTTAATCCATTCATTTATTTAACTAATTGCTTCTTAAATGCTCTGAAGTGAACGATATACAGTCAGAGAAAAGTCATGCTGATAGCCGTAATTATTACATTTCTATGGTAATTAGGAGATGCAGTAGGAAGGTACAGTGTCAGAATGGTTAAAGAGCTTCTATACAAAATCCTGCAGCAAGGTTCAGCCTATATTCATACTGAAAGCCAGCATCAAGTTGTAAATGAATGCCTGAACCTCCAAACTGTGGAAGCCATACAGAATCTGTGGTTGGCCCTTTGCTGCCCTTACTGCTCTAGTGTCTTAACCATGCTCCACATTAAAGTCACAACAAACTTGAATCTGATTACATGTACAGATGTATAATGAAACAAATTCTATTTGCAGTCAGAAAGGGACAGAGACCAAGTTTAAGTCACCTATGGCAGTCTTGTCTTTCTCCTCCTCCACTCTTGTAACATTTTCCCCAGAATTCTTGTCAGAGGCCAACACAAATGCAGTTTTTCCTCATTGCAGATGAAATGCAATACAACATGAAGTTTGTAAC